GGAGAGGTTGTCCCAGCATACCAGAAAGTTCTGTTGGACAGCACTGTCCCGTTCCTCCCCCACAGAGCCACCCCATCCCTTTACATTCTCTGTAGGGCCAACACCCGTGTGACGTCATAAGCACTGGTGCATGGCCACCTCTCTCTGTCTTTGTAAATGAACTGGTATTTCTAGGTCAGCAAAATGTCTTCTTCTTTTTTTTTTTAAAGTCAGGGTCTCACTGTGTAGTCCAGGTTGGCCTTGGACTCAGAGATCCACCTGCCTCTGCCTTAGGAGTGCTGGTTTTAAAGGTGTGCACTACTGTGCACCCAAACCTTGAACTCTTGATCCCTCTGCCTCTGCCTCCTGGGTGCAGGATCACAGGCCTGAGTCGCCATGCCTGGTGCTTCTGGAGTTACTCAATGAGATCGTTTTCCTCTCACGCTTTCTGACTCCTTTGTTCAGGAGGCCACAGACTTGCTACGGCATAGACATCCGAAGTCAGTCATCCTCCAGCGTCAGGGCTTTAGACGAAAAGATGCTTGTCATTAGAGGGATGCTGACATTCGAAGGTGTGTCTGTGGGCTCTGCACAGGATCTCAGAAGACCCCGAGCAAGCGAGAGGCAGTCTGGACTATGTGCACAAGATGGCGTCCTCGCTGTCATTGCTGACTGCCGAATCCAGGGGAGGGATGTACATATTCTGTCTCTCACGTCTTCTCTTTTGACCAGGGTCTCAGTACGAAGCTAAGAATGACCTGGAAAAGAGCAAACCTCCCGGCTCAGCCTTCCAAGGGCTGTGATTACAAGTCAAAGCCACAGAGAGGAACAAGAAAAGCCAAGAGCCAGACAAAGCAGCTCGACCTTTATGGAGTCATTCACCAGACTTCTGCTGTGGTTCAGACCCCAGAGGCACATTGCCCCATCCCCATCAGCACATCTCAATGGTCTCATCTTCAGGAGGTCCTGAAGGTGACCTCCTCCCCCCAGGTTCACAGATCATGCCCCACAGGGAGCCAGAGGGGTCCATCACAGGTTCTGTTCCGTCTCCTGGTCCCCATGACAGCCAGTCTCTATGACGATGGCCAGCAAAGCTGTGATGTGGCCTCACACAGCTCTGCAGAGGCAAGGCCATTGCTTGGCCGTTTCTCTGCTTGCTAGAGACCCGTACTATCTGGTACAGGCTTCTGTACTTACATCACCCCCCACTGTCCCCTATGACATTCAGGTCCCCAGCATTGATTCCCATTCCCACAGTGTCTTCCCAGAGTCTGACACGATGATTTTATCCAAGCAGTGTGTGTCTCTAGGATTTGGACCATAGTTAAAAAGTTTGGTGAGCTAACTACACAAAGGCTGAGTGCCTTTTTCCCATCTCTTGGACATCTGTACTCCTCTTAGTGGCGCACTCATATCCTGTGAGTGTGTTATATACCCACACCCACAGCACCAGCCTCGCAATAGCAAATCACTACACCCAGATGGACCCAAAAGATAAGTCGCTCCTGCAGTTCCAGGACTTGCCACGTGGTGGCAGCAGACACACAGGCAAGTTTCACAGAGGGCGGTTATGCTGAGGCTGCCAGGCTGGAATTGAAGACCGCAGAGCACAGTGGGGGGGGGGAAGGGGGGGGGAGACGACAACGACGATGGGACTGAGGCCTCAGAGAGGAGACCTGGTGGTTTCTTTCTTTGCTTGTTTTTCTTGGTTGGGAGTGAAACTCAGGCCCTGGTACGTGTGGGGAGAGTGTTCTAACCTAGCGAGGCTCAGATGTGGAGCTTTGTGGGAGAAGTCATGAGTGAGGCCAGTTTCCGTACCTCCGCTGTGTGACGTCTTCATGGCTGCCACCATCAAGGCCTGCGTGGGGCTGTATGGAGGTGTGAGTCACCTGTTGGAGAGGGCCAAAGGGGCCCAGATATAGGACATTCCGCATCCCCATGCCAGGGCCACAACAATGGCCAGAGAACCATTGTAAGGAGGGCCCCCATAGGAACAAAAGGGGTTCCCTGACCTCTTTCACTAGAGACCCACCTGCTATCCCACCTGTACTGAGTCACAGCTGCTGCCTGCAGGCTGGGGGAGGGGTCTCAGCTTCAGTCTTCCCTCCTGCAGATACCTAAGAGTCTGGGGGGCAGCAGAGGGCCTGCAGCCCACGCTGGAAATGCCCATCGCCTTGGCAACCACCATGGCCACAGTCACCACACCAGTTCAGGGCTCCAGGTTTAAAAGAACCATGGTGTGACATTTGCTTTTCTGTGTTAGGAACGAATTCACTTAAAGAGGCAGCTGGGCCTGTCATCCCAGCTACTCTGGAGGGTGAAGGAGAAGGATCCCAATTCGAGGTCAGCCTGGGCGACTTATCAAGACCCTGTCTCAGAAGGAAAAGTAAAAAGAGGGCTGGGTGTAGCTCACTGGCAGAGCGTGTGCAAGACCCAAGCTTCCAACTCCAGCACCGTGACGAGAACATAACAAACTCCCAAGCACACCACGATGGTGTCAGGCTAGCCCATTTCTATGTTGATTTGGCCACATCGGGGACCTCTGTAGCCCAGGTTCCTCCAAACATGAGGGTGGGACAGGGAGAGGGGAGGAGCTGGCCCTGGATGGGGAAGGCCAGCTATGCCAGCTGCTCAGTCCTGGTGGGGCCTCGGGGCCCTGGGGAAGGGCTGGCAGCGATGGTGAGGCGGAGGCACCACCTGCTGAGCCAGGAACCTGGGGAAACAAGGGCACGCTCCTCAGGCCTCCCTGTGAGACACTTAGGTCGGCACTGGGTGGGTGAGCTCCAGCAGGGAGGTTGCTGAGAGGCCAGCTGGCCCAATCTGGAGGCCAGCGAGCCAAGCTCTTTGATGAGGTGGAGTGTGGCCTCTGGGGCCTGAATCACCCTTGAGTCCCTGTGTGACCCGAGTCACCTTTCTCTAGACCTCAGTTTACTGGTAGGACTTGACCCCAAGGGGAGACTTTCTCTACCATCACTGCTTTCCCACCATGACCTTGAGCCAGCACCTCGCTCGGCTGAGCCTGTGTCCTTACCTGTAAAGCAGAGAGCAGGGCCCACCTGCAAATGACCAGGAGGAGGAAACGAGTGTGAAACACGGCAGCACAGAGAGGGTGGAGGACCAGCTAAGGACACATAGCAGATGCCCGCATTACTGTATTAGCCTCCCCAGGGCTTGCTGCATCTCCCCAGAACCCAGAAATGCTAGGCGGGAAGCTAAGGCTCGGAAAGGGGAGCCAGTTTGCCCGAGGCCACACCCAGCTGGAACAGTGGGCAAAAAGAGAGAAGTTGGGCCAGCGAGACGGCTGGGCAGTCTAAGGTACTTACTACCAAGCCCAAAGACCTTAGTCCACTCCTCAGGATCCACGTGATGGAAGGAGAGACCTGACTGCCACAAGCTCTCACCTGCACGTGCAAGTTGTGACACACGTGCAAAGCAAATAAATAAATGTAATTAAAAAAAAAAAGTCCCTGGAGGGGTCAACGTGGGGAGGAGGCAGCAGGGACAGACGGAGGAGTGGCCAAGTGAGATGGGCTTTTGGGACAGAGGTATGGGGGGGGCTTCCTGGAGTAGGGTTGAGGGACAGTGCTCAGATGCTCCTCTACTGGTCAGTGGGGACGTGGTGGGCTCTGCCAAGGCCAACCCTCCTGAAGGCCAGGCTGCAGGAAACTGAGGGAAAGTGGCGGAGAGGCTGGGGGAAACTGTCACCAATGGTGAATAAGGGAGAGCCCTTCAGGGGAGCCTCAGTGTCCCACTTCACTGCCAGGCCTGGCTGGGTGGCCCTGGGGATGTCACCACGCCTCTCTGGGCCCTGATCCCTTCCTGGCCCAGAGGCTTCTGGGAAGGCAGGGAAGGCCAGAAAGCCGCAGGCAGGGCAAGTGTCTTATCCCTTCCCTCCCTCCCCCCAACCCCCAAGGGCATAGGGAGATGTCATTTCTCCAGCTCTTGGGGGCGGAGGTCACCCCAGCTCAGCAGATAACGCTGAAGGTTGAGCAACGCCCCATCAGCCTGCTGAGGCCAGGGCTGGGGTCAATGGGTCGGGGGTCAGCCCAAGACAGGTTGGCAGCTCCTGCCTGAGTGGCCCGGCTGGGAGTGGCAGAAGGGTGGGCCCCACGAGCTGCCAAGGGCTGCTTAGAAAGGCTCCCACCAAGGTTGGTGGTCGAAGCCTGGGGACAGTTCGAATGCACAGAGGGCTGCTTCCCCAGCCTGCAGGGTGAGCGCTGGCTTCTCAAGGTTGGAGTTGGGGCTAGCTCCCACCCCAACCACCTGAGAAGCCTGCAGCCTCTGCGCAGGGCTGAGCACAGGTCTTCGAAATGCAACCGTGTCCCTGGTACTCTATTCGGAGGTCCATTTCTCTCTGACACCGGGAATGCTTTTAACAATATCAACAGCTTCCACGGAGGCAGCGCAGAGAGGCGAAGTGACTCACCCACAGACACACAGTGTGGCAGAACCCCCACCCCTGCCACCTTCGCGGAGAAGCGCGGGGAGTGGCATAGGCAGTTGCGGAGGGCGGGCCAGGCATGGGAAGGAGGATTTGGCTCAGGGGGCAGCAGGCATGGGGGGGGGGGCGTGCACCCGGTGGAGAGCTGTGCTTCCCAGGAATCGGGGGCCGAGAGAGGGGGGCAGCACCTGGGTGGGTGGGGTGGACATGTACCGGGAGGAAGACTGCTCCCTGGGAGTTGGGGGTCAGGGACAGCGGGCAGGATCTGGGGCTTGGGGTCGTGCACCGGCTGGAACGCTCTGCTTCCCAGAAGTCGGGGGTCCCGGGACAGCGGACCGGCGCGGGGACTAGCCACCGCGTCCTCCAGCAGAGGGCGGACGGCGGCCGCGCTCCTCAGAGTTGCCGAGGGGCGGGAAGGGGGCGGGCCGGTGTCTCCCGCGTCCGTGGCGATCGCGGGGCTGGCGGGGCGCCCGGGACACCGCTCAGTGTCTCCGCGCGCAGACCCCCGCCGCGCCCTGCTCCCCGCCGCGCCCTTTCGCGCTCCCGCGGCCAGGCAATGACGCGCACCGGCCGGGCGGCGGGAGGGGCCGGGGCGGCCCCGGCGTGACGCAGCCTTGTTGCCAGGCGCCGCCTTATAAACCTCCCTCTCGGCGGCCGCCGAGCCGAGTCCGAGCCGCGCACGGGACCGGGACGCAGCGGAGCCCGCGGGCCCCGCGTTCATGCACCGCCTGCTGGCCTGGGACGCAGCATGCCTCCCGCCGCCGCCCGCCGCCTTTAGACCCATGGAAGTGGCCAACTTCTACTACGAGCCCGACTGCCTGGCCTACGGGGCCAAGGCGGCCCGCGCCGCGCCGCGCGCCCCCGCCGCCGAGCCGGCCATCGGCGAGCACGAGCGCGCCATCGACTTCAGCCCCTACCTGGAGCCGCTCGCGCCCGCCGCGGACTTCGCCGCGCCCGCGCCCGCGCCCGCGCACCACGACTTCCTTTCCGACCTCTTCGCCGACGACTACGGCGCCAAGCCGGCCAAGAAGCCGGCCGACTACAGTTACGTGAGCCTCGGGCGCGCGGGCGCCAAGGCCGCGCCGCCCGCCTGCTTCCCGCCGCCGCCTCCCGCCGCGCTCAAGGCGGAGCCGGGCTTCGAACCCGCGGACTGTAAGCGCGCGGACGACGCGCCCGCCATGGCGGCCGGGTTCCCGTTCGCCCTGCGCGCCTACCTGGGCTACCAGGCGACGCCGAGCGGCAGCAGCGGCAGCCTGTCCACGTCGTCGTCGTCCAGCCCGCCCGGCACACCGAGCCCCGCCGACGCCAAGGCCGCGCCCGCCGCCTGCTTCGCGGGACCGCCGGCCGCGCCCGCCAAGGCCAAGGCCAAGAAGGCGGTGGACAAGCTTAGCGACGAGTACAAGATGCGGCGCGAGCGCAACAACATCGCGGTGCGCAAGAGCCGCGACAAGGCCAAGATGCGCAACCTGGAGACGCAGCACAAGGTGCTGGAGCTGACGGCCGAGAACGAGCGGCTGCAGAAGAAGGTGGAGCAGCTGTCGCGAGAGCTCAGCACCCTGCGGAACTTGTTCAAGCAGCTGCCCGAGCCGCTGCTGGCCTCGGCGAATCACTGCTAGCGCGCCGGGGGGTGCCGTGGGGGGCGCCGCCGCGGCCACCGTGGGCTCCGTGCGCCCTGCCCCGCGCGCGCCTGCCCCGCGCGCACCGAGGGCCCCGTGCGTGCCTCGCGCGCACCTGCACCTGCACCGAGGGGACACCGTGGGCACCGCGCGCACGCACCTGCACCGCGCACCCGGTTTCAGGACTTGATGCAATCCGGATCAAACGTGGCTGAGCGCGTGTGGACACGGGACTGACGCAACACACGTGTAACTGTCAGCCGGGCCCTGAGTAATCACTTAAAGATGTTCCTGCGGGGTTGTTGCTGTTGATGTTTTTGGTTTTTTCGTTTTTGTTTTTTCTTTTTGGTCTTATTATTTTTTTGTATTATAAAAAAGTTCTATTTCTATGAGAAAAGAGGCGTATGTATATTTTGAGAACCTTTTCCGTTTCGAGCATTAAAGTGAAGACATTTTAATAAACTTTTTTGGAGAATGTTTAAAAGCCTTTTGGGGGCAGTAGTTGGCTTTTGAAAAAAATTTTTTCTTCCCTTCTGACTTTGGATTTATGCGAGATTTTGTTTTTGTGTTTCTGGTGTGTAGGGGGCTGCGGTTATTTTTGGGTTGTGTGTGGTGGTGGGTGGGGGTGTCGCATCTGGGTTTTTCTCTTCCCCTGGCAGATGGGGTGCCAGCCCCTCCCCCCAGGAGAAGGAGCAGAGTGCTGGGTCAGGAAATCAGGGTGACTCAGCACCCATGGGTGCTGGGGACCTTGCTAGAAACGCTGCTTGGGACAGGGTTGGTTCTGGGTGTCAGGCTTGTTTTGGGGACCAGGCAGGCAGTGACTCTGTAGAAAGGGCTGGTTCAGACAGCCCCAGTCCGGGCAGGTGCTTTGGTAAGTACGGTATACAAAGTACTCTGTGTGTGGTGGTGGGGAGGGGAGCCTGCATGTCTGTTTGGTTTGTATGTCCCCATGTAACTGGAAGGGAGGGTGAAGGGGATAGTTCCTACTCTGTGTTCCCTTCCAACCCAGATGGGACATGGAGCCTCCCTGGCCTGGCTCAAGGTGGCTGAGCCGGGACTTGAACTCAGATCCACCGCTCAGATTCGCTGGAGCAGCACCGATTTCCACAGCCGGCCTGCATTAGTGGGAGTTTGAGAGTGTCCAAGGAGTAGTGGAAATGCCGTGTCCCGCCGTGCCTGGCACGCCAGAACTCTTACATAAGCATTTGTTCTTGTTATTATTTTTGATGGGAGGCTCCTGGCATTTGGCTGTGTGAGCGTGGAGCGCCTGCCCAGGGCTAGCGTCCTGAAAGCCTCCTTCAAGCCTCATGGAAGGTGGGCACTTCTGTGCCCCTTGCTTTATGGATGTGGATGGCTGTGGTTGTTAGATCCCTATGAGCACCCTGCCCTGAGGAATTCTGGGTAGTGGGTAACGGCAGTTTGCCAGAGGCCTGGAGGAGTCTGGGGTCTTGGGAGTGACCAGTGACACTGTGGCTTGAGAATAGGCAATGCTTTGTCTTTCCCCTCTCTGGGAACCTGGAGTACTGGGCCTGGTGACCTGTGGTCTTCCGCTGTCACAGGGCTGACGGTGAGGCTTTCTCTGTCCTTCCAATCAAGGTGGCTGGAGGCCTATGCAGACCCTCAGACACTTACTTCCAGTCAGCTGCCTTCTAGGCTTATGTAGCCAGACACTTGACCTGGTGGGCACTGCAGCCAAGGTCAGTGCAGCCCATGGCCCAGTGTCCTGGTGGCTTTATCCATGCCAGGGGCTGTTGGTCAGCTCCATCGCTTCAGGATTTAACCACTTAGACCCAAAGCCTGGGCTGAACTAATTCGGGGAGGCTCTACCTTTTCAGGAATGGAAAACTTTAACATACCTATGCAGACAGGCTGGCCTGGCATCCATTTCTTAGCGTAAGTCACAGAGGTGACACTCTCACTCAAGGTAGAGGGGTGCTACCTGCTGTCTCCAGGGCTGGTTTATAGTTCCTTTCCCTACCCCAGCCCCCCTGCCCTTAATGGAAGGCTCATTTCTCGGCCCCAAGATCAGGTACCCAACCCCAAATGGCAGCACAGACTAGAATGCCCCCGGGAAGGGGGCGTGACCCAAGGCTCTTCTGATGTCTCCCGGATTGGGAAAAGCAGTAAGTGGGTCAAAACTTTGCTATCTGTGTGGCCCAGTGTAGGAGCACAGTGGACAAGAGATGTCACTAATGAGGTGACATATCAGATCATCAGGCCGCCAGGGGTCAGGGATTGCCCAGAAGGAGGGACAAGCTGGACCAAGTCTAGGGACAGGACAGCAAGACGGGGAGAGAGCAGCGGCTTGAAGGATAATTACGGTGGGGGGAGGATGGCTCACAGATGGAGTGTCTCTCCAGACCCTTGTCATTGGTGGGCTACTGGGTCCTCCTGCTGCCAGGGCTGGTCAGCCATATTGCCCAGAGCCCCATGGAGTGGTGGTGGTCACTGTTGAGGCTTGCCTGAAGGTGAGGCGACCAGAGCCCTCCTGACGCCTGCTCAGGATGGGGGCGTTCACAAAATGTACTCTCATTGTCTAATGCAACCAACCCACAACCTGGTGACTTTACCCAGGAGAGAAGTGGGTGACTGAAAGGGAAGGGGGAGGCGTGGGTACTGGCCCAGCGTGGAGGTCCTGCTGGCTGATGTGATCGGCTCAGCCTTGGCTGGAGCTTCGGCTACAGGATTCTTCTGCCTGGTGAAGAGGCTCCGAGAGGGGAAGTGACTTGTCTAAGTTTGCACAGCTGGGAAGGGTAAGAGTTAGCGTGGGGGCTGGAGTTGGGGGGACTGTCTCTTCCAGCCATCTGAGGAATGTTCCCCTCCCCCCATATCCGGTTCTGACTTGTTTGCTCCTCTCTTAGATATTTATTTGCCCTGTTACTTTTCATGTATGTGACAATCATTTATTGAGCACCAGCTGTATGCCAGCTCCCATTGCGGGTGCTGGAGTTGGGTGGTTACAAAGAAGGAGGTGACAATTAACAGGCAGAGAAGGACACTTAAATACTCAGCCACTGGAACAAGATAATGACAGGTGGGAACAAAGACTAGGAAGGAGGAAAAGTGGGGCAGGAAAGGGTGGGGAGGAACCTTCTGAGAGGAGGTGTCTCTCCTGGGCTAGCCTGAGCTAAGCAGGGAGCCTAGGATACCACGTGCTTCATTTATCCTCCATCTCCCATGAGACCAGTCCCTACCCACAGGGAAAGCCAGACACAGGCAGAGTCAAAGTCACAGTCACTGTCCCCGGAGCTGCTGAAGTGAAGATCTGACTGCTCATGTGAGCCCAAAGGCCGCCACCCGCCCTACTGAGACCTTAGACCTTCTCCCTCCCTCCCTCACCCTATTCCTGACACGCAGACCCCGGTGGTGTCCCACTGACCACTCTTTCTTTGGGGTTCAGATGTTGCCTTTGTAACAGGGCTTGTTTGGGGCAGTGAAGCACCTAGGCTGGGCACAGCAGGGCAGGCCGGGATGGGCCAAGAGCTGGTATCCAAGCCCTTCTTGTGTCCTCTGAGGCAGAAACCAGGAGCCCTATTTCGTGATGTGTGGGGACCCAAGGCTCTTCACAGGATCCACAGGAATATTCTTAAAGAGCAGTGAAGCCTTTTTTTTTTTTTTCTTTTTTAAATCCAAGATTATGGGGTAATTTAGAGGCCCAGGATTTGAATGGGATTTAAACCAAGTCAGGAGTCTTGGTAAGTGGAGGGTACCTTTGCTGTCGATAAAAGATGAGCAGTGTGTACGTGTTAGAAACCACCTGCAAGGTTCCGTGCCAGAGGACCAGCGTTGAGGGAGCTGCATTTGAACCCAGGGCAATTGGCGGGTTCAGACCCCACTGGCCCAGCCCTGCCGTGAGGCTGACGAGGTGTGTGCACAGCCTCTCAGGGCTAAGGTGTGCAAACAGGACCCGTGATCCTGAGCTTTGTCTCCTGCTGGCTGGAGACATCAAGCAAGACATTTGACCTCTCTGTGCTTGGCCTTCACCGCGGACAAAGAGTCCATCTGGTCAGCCAGTGTCAAGCAAACAGACGCTCGCTGCGGGCCCCAAGGGAGGGGAGTTACATGCTAACAGAAACAGAATGTTGTGCGACGCCTGGTGGGCTGGCACACGCCTGTTACCCCAACACTCGGGAGGTGGAGGCAAGAAGGTCGGGAGTTCAAGATTATCCTTGGCTACATAAGAATTTGAGGCTAGCCCAGGCTACATAAGACACTGTCTCAAGCTCCTCAACCCTCCAAAGGAAGCGGTAACAAACTGGTTCAGACAGCGATCACAGCCTTGAGCAAACAAGCCTGAGAAGTGGTTGAAGGCACCCGAGGGGGGGATCTCAGGGGGAGGTCAGCAGGTGCAAAGGCCCCAAGGCTAGAGGGGTGACAGCCGGCAAGGCCTAGAACTGCAGAGGAGAAGGGAGGGTGGTGGGTTCTTTCCGCAGGGCCTCTGAGGCCAGGGTGAGGCCAACAGGGACTGAGGATGACTGAGTGGGTGTCCCTGCCAGAGCCTGGCACCCACAAAGTCCTTGATAAGTCTGTTGACGAATGAAACAGGCCCCTTGGCCCTGGGGGCTAGGCAAAGGGCAGTGGGTGAAGGAGCAGAGGCCTGCCTGCCTGCCCGTCTGCCTGACCCAGGAGACCTGAGGGATTCAAGCCTGTGACCCAGGGCCTGGAGCCATTTGAGCTGAGCCTTGTGCCAGGCAGGAAGAGGGGCCAGGCTGGCCAGGAGGGACTGGAGGAACAGAGAGAGAGAGATAGTTCTCTGGGAAGCAGTGGCTGTGGGACAGAGGGCAGAGACAAACAAGGCTGCAAGGCCACAGAGGGAAGCCAGGCCTCCTGTTGTCTCAAGACTGGGGGACAGGCAGGAGACTGGACTTCCAAGAGGCATTTTGCTTTTATTTAATTTCCAAAGAATTACTAATGTGGAATACTAATAAAAGGAAGTCAGAAGCACCCACGGTTTTAATACCCAGAAACAAACCTGTTAAATATTGCTGTGTGGCCTTAGGTATGTTACTTTGCCTCTCTGTGCCTCCAATTCATTGCTTATTAAGTGGGATAATAATGACCTAGCTTCATCAGGATAAGGATGCAGTGAAGGCTGAGTTGGTTCACATACTATGTTTAACACGATCCCGTCCTGGTACAGGGTGGGGGTTAGCCCTTGTCCTTGTACGGTGCCGCGGAATCCACTGTGTTCTGGATGTGAATTGGGCAAGCAGTTCTCTTCCCTGGCTGTGACAAGAAGATAGCAACATTCTTGGGAGTGTTCTGGAAAGGTTTGACAGGTTAGTTCATGCAGAGACCTCTAGAATTTTCTTCCACGGGTTTCCATCCCATCCCCCTTCGTGGTAGCTACGGTTGCCAGTCCATGTACACACCTCCCCTTCTTCCTCAACAGAGGGCTGCCCCGTTTCTGGGAACAGCCGCCTTATGGAGAGACTCCATTTCCCCAGCTTCTCTTGCAGCTAGGAATGAATGACCCGTGAGCCG